CCTGGCAGTGCTCACACTGGTGCCCAGTTCCCCAGGGGCAGTGAAACAGCAGAGACTCATTGCCTGCACAACAGAAGACCTCTGTCCACACAAGCCCAGAGCCCCAGTCAAAGTGGGCGCCCCCAGGAGTGGACACGGCTGAGCCACACTGCAGCTCCCGGGCACACCACGTGGGCCTTGGCCCGGTCCAGGTGGGCATTGCAGCCGATGCCCTAGGTCAGGCCAGACCTCACTTCTAGACGCTGGCACAGGGGTGCTCGGCACCCACTAGCTGGGCCTCCACATGACCTGGGGGGACACTGAACTGAAACAGTCCATCAAGGGCAGGGTAGGCGTTTGACAGGTCTCTGGGAAATTGACCCGACTGCCCGGCCCCCCAGCGGTGTCTGCCCCCCAGTGACTCTTGCCTTTGGAGCAAGAACACAGGAAGGTTGTACATGGCAAAAATGCACTCAAGGACTCTTTGTCCAGAAATTTCAAAAATTAGAAATCAAATATTCACCTTCCATCTCAATTTGTATCCTTAATTTTGATTTTCTTAAGTTTTCTCACACTTTATTTTGATGGTGTCAGTGACATTAAGGAATTAAAATATTAACAAATGAATGCCTAAGTACCGTTTTCTGAGGCATCTCCACAGAGTTAGGGTCTCGGCTCTTCACGTGCACACAGACGCTTCACTGCCTGCAAAGGGCTGAGACAGCCCATCTCTTGGGGGCCCACGTGGTGTGGTCCCCTCCTCTCATGGACCTCTTGGAACCCAGAGCCCTGTGGAGAGCAGCACATTCACCTGGAAGGAGGAAGGGCCACACCTCACAGCCACCTGGGTAGGGAGAGTGCTCCACCCACCTGCAAACGATGACCGCACGGGTCAGGCGGGAAACACACAGGACCCATAGACCACGCACCTCGTAAATCATGCTCATATCTACACATCAGTGCAAAGAAAGGTTCTCATGGATATAAACCAGGATGCTGAGGGATTCAGTTCTGAGCGTAGAACAAGTGTTTTCCATTCTCTTTCTTTGTTCTATGAGTTTTTAAATTTACAATAATAAACATGTATTGTTTTATAAACAGAATAAGATCAATAATGGTTGCTTTCCAAAAGATTTGCCAGATGACCAGTTTTCGAGAGGGCAGCTCAGGTTTTTAGACCAGCATGGAGGAGGTGAGGAGAGTCTGGAGGGAGACGAGGATTTCCAGGGAGGGCAGGAGGACCCGGTCAGCAGGACCCTCTGCGCAGCAGCCCCAGCACCTCCCGAGCCACAGTCTGCGCCTGCTCTGAGCTGCACCCCCAGCTCAGGGCTCAGGGACCTGCAGCTGCCTCAAGTGGGTCCCCCCATGCTCTTCCCTCACAAGAAGCCTAATCAATACCCTACAAATGCACTGAAAGGACTGGGGGCCACCGGGAAAAAGCTCAGCACACAGCCATGAAGGGGGCACGGTCCGGCTGCCTGGGGCAGGAGCGGAGCACTGTGCTTTGGGGAAGGGCAGCACAGATAGAGGGGTCCCACACACTGCCTCTAAGTCCCAACCGCTCTGGCTGCTTGGCTGACACCCTTACTCTGCTCCCCATGCGTCTTCCAGACCCCTGTCCCATGCCCAGACCCCCACCCCACTTCCTGCCAGCTCCCTTCTCTCCCTCCTGACCCCAGGGGACGCACTCCTGCCGCACACCTTCCCCCACCCCCCAGGCCCAGGGATATCCAGTGTGAGGGTGACCAGGCTGTGGTCAGGGTGGGTGTGGTCAGGGAAGGAGGGTGTGAGGAACGGTGTGAGGATGGGGTGGGGAAGGTGTGGTCAGGTGGGCGTGGTCAGAGTGGCAGTGGTCAGGGATGCAGGGTGTGAGGGTGGGGTGGGGAAGGTGTGGTCAGGTGGGCGTGGTCAGGGCGTGGTCAGAGCGGCGGTGGTCAGGGATGCAGGGTGTGAGGGTGGGGTGGGGAAGGTGTGGCCAGGTGGGCGTGGTCAGGGCGTGGTCAGAGTGGCGGTGGTCAGGGATGCAGGGTGTGAGGGTGGGGTGGGGAAGGTGTGGTCAGGTGGGCGTGGTCAGGGCGTGGTCAGAGCGGCGGTGGTCAGGGATGCAGGGTGTGAGGGTGGGGTGGGGAAGGTGTGGCCAGGTGGGCGTGGTCAGGGCGTGGTCAGAGTGCGGTGGTCAGGGATGCAGGGTGTGAGGGTAGGGTCAGGTGGGCATGGTCAGGGCGTGGTCAGAGTGGCGGTGGTCAGGGATGCAGGGTGTGAGGGTGGGGTGGGGAAGGTGTGGCCAGGTGGGCGTGGTCAGGGCGTGGTCACAGTGGCGGTGGTCAGGGATGCAGGGTGTGAGGGTGGGGTGGGGAAGGTGTGGTCAGGTGGGCGTGGTCAGGGCGTGGTCAGAGTGGCGGTGGTCAGGGATGCAGGGTGTGAGGGTAGGGTCAGGTGGGCATGGTCAGGGCGTGGTCAGAGTGGCGGTGGCAGGATGCAGGGTGTGAGGGTGGGGTGGGGAGGGTGTGGTCAGGTGGGCATGGTCAGAGTGGCGGTGGCAGGATGCAGAGAGTGAGGGTAGGGTGGGGACGGAAGGGAGGTGGAAAGACTGTGGCCAGTGTGGGTGTGGTCACAAAGGGCTGGGTCTCTCTGTGAGTACTGTGGACTTTGGCACAACGGAGCACCTGGGCCGGTTCCAGCACCCTCTGTGGATGTGAGGAGGGGCGCCCAGGAGTTGGTTCGTCAGGGGCCCCCATCCAGATGCGCACAGGAAAACCATGTGGGCAAGAAGCTGTGGGTGCAGAACGTTGAAAACATGCGTCCACATCGGACCAGGGTGAAGAGGGGGTAGCTGAGAACAGAACCTGGGCTGAGGGGGGATGGTCCAAGGAATGTTTCTGAGATGAATTAATGCATGAATGAGTGGGTTCAAAGGGACTTTAATGACATCTTTTGAAATGAGGACAATGAAAGCTCTCCAGGGCCTGGGCTCTCTCCCTCCTCTGGTCTCACTGATGTCCCCCATGGCCAGCTCACTGTCATCACGTCCTAGGGCACGCTGTGTCTTCCATCTCAGCCTGAGCTTTGGGGCCGAGGCTGCAAGGAGCCCCACCTGCGTTTAAGGAGAGAGACGTGCACTGGGCCCCTTGGCCATCGTTCAGAGCCCCCCTGACTTCTGGCCCTGGTGTGTCACTTGAAGCCAGAAGGTCAGACAAGAACTAGAGTGGGTGAGCCAGGGTCACACTGCATCCCCTCCCACCCTGTCTGCTCAGGCTCCCTGCAGCCGGCCAGGACAAGGTACTAGAAGGGCCCTGTGGGCAGCCATGAAAAGAAACCCAAAGAAAACTCCAGGACCCTCCCTAAACTCCATATCCACCCACAAGAAGATTCCTGTCTAAGGAGCAACTTTGAAGGGACGGCCGAATTTCCTGACATCCAAGCCTGTGATGCAGGAGTGAGGGTCATGGACACATGGGCTGATGGCTCTCAGGGTCTTTAAATGTAGGCACTGGCCAGAGCAGAGCCCCGGGCATAGGCACAGTACAGAAGGGACAGCAGGACAGACACCAAGGCACAGAGGTGCACACCGGTGGGGCTCAGGGGCGCCTCCTCCTCTTCCTCCTCCTCCTCAGGGCCCAGCTCTGGCTCCCCAGCATCATCATACTCCTCCTCCAGGGCCAGGTTCTGGGACACTCTGGGCCCCTCATCTTTCTCCCCCATGGGGACAGCTCCGATGTCCTCATAAACACCTTCCGAGGGCAGACTCCCCAACATTCTGGAACCTGCAAAAGCCACACCAGAGCCCTCTAGAAGAGACACTCCCCACAGTCTGGCAACCCCTCCCCAGCCCCCAACTGACCTCCTGTCTGCTGGCCCTGTGGGGTCTCCCATGCATGCAACCTGGCCCTTCTGCTGCAGTCGCCCACCAAGAGCAACATCCCCCACAAGGGCACATGCCTCCCCGGGCACCCAGGGCTGGTTAGCCCCACCACACAGATGGCCTGAGGAATCAGGACACAACTGGGGACTTGTTCTCACACCCAGGCCACCCTTCAGAAGCAAAGCAAGGCCCAGGATCCCGAGTCCCCAGGGTCCAAGAGTGTCACTGAGAAGTCGCCATGCAGTGGGGGTCCAGGTGGGACCAGGCATGCAGAGCAGTTACCAGGATAGAAGGGGCCTGTGATGGGCTGGGGTCTCAGAGTGTGCGCCCCCAGCCTCCCCATCCCGAGCCTTGTGTTCACCTCCCCAACCACACCCACCTACCCCTGCGGGTTCTGCCACGGTACCACTGCACTCCCAGGACCAGGGAGACAATGACCAGAAGGGTGCCGAGGACAAAGCAAAACGTCATGGGCAGGTTCTCGGCCTTGAGGGCAGATGGAGGGGCCAGGGGAGGGCCTGTGGGGACAGTGAGAGGCGGGGTCTCCCTTGTGTGCCTGTGTGCCTGGGGTATTGTGACCTTGGGTCTGGACCACCTGAGCCTCTCAGGGAGGGGGAAGGCACCCAGAGGAGAGATGGCCTTGTGCTCCTCCCCCAGAGATAGCCCCAAGGTCATAGGGCAAGGTCAGGAGGGAGGGGGCACAGGAGGGAGGGGGCCAGAAGGGAGGCCACAGTGTTCCCAGGTCAAACCCCCCAGTTGGTAAAAGAAAGACCCCAGAGAAGTTGCTGGGCAGGGCCTGGGCCTGCTGTCCCTCCCAATGGCTCTCCACAGAGGAGGATGCACAGCTGTTTTCCTTGGAGGAGGGGGTGGTCCTGGTCCTCCTGACCTTGGCCCGACCAGCCTAAGGAGGGGCTGACTGGAGCCTTGGCACCCACAGGAGACTCCAGGGCACCCCTCTGTGCAGAACCCATTGTAGGGCCCCTCTGAGTTGGGGCCAGATGAGAGCATGAGCTGAGCCCTGAGGGAGAGCACACTACCCGATGTCCATGCCAGCGCTGGTGGCAAGGCCGTGGTTCCCCTGTCACCTGCAAGAGAAATAGGAAGGATCTGAGGGCAAAGTAGGGGAGGCAGCCACAGCCCTGGGCAGCTAGACCCTTACTCAGACCCTCAGGGAAGTGTCCCAGCCCCACTCAGCCTGAGCCAACATGTCATGGGACAGCCACAGAGGCAGCCAGAGGAAGCCAGGTTCTGTGGGGATAGTCGGAGGAACCCTTCTGGTAACCCCTCCCCAGCCCCCAACAAACCCTCCCACCCCGCCTGTCCCGCTACCCCCTGCCCACTCACGGGAGCAGTGCACACCCGCATCCTCCTTGTGCCCACAGTCTCCGAGTCCCCATGGCTCTGCAGGACAGCTCCATAGGGATGCCTCGCTGCCACGGCACCCCACCTCATCCAGCCACACAGGCCCCGAGCCTGGCCCGAAGGCGGCCCCCACAAGGGCACCCACAGCCGGGCCACAGCCCAGCTGGCGGCACACAACCTCTGCATCTGCCAAGTCCCAGGAATCATCACAGATGGTGCCCCAGAAGCCAGCATGCCAGAGCTCCACGCGGCCAGAGCAGTTGTCCTTGCCCCCACGCACACGCAGCATACCCTCTTCTGGAAAAGGGGACTGTGGTCACTGCAGGGCAGGACCAAGATGAAGAGTGGACAGGGAGATGGACAGAAGGGTACCTGGGCAGCTGTGGGTGGATGAGCAGTTGAGGGTCTCCCCGGAATCCTGTGCCATTTTCTCTGACAATCCTATTGGATTAAGTAGGCACCATCCCACTGTAAATGCCCTGAAAAGCTTCAAAATGCAGTTTGTAGAATCCACATGACCCCCCGGCCCTGAATCATGGATGGGTGGCTTGTCAGAAACCACCAGCATCCCACCTGCACAGGTGATCCAGACCTCCTCTCCAGGGGTGCAGGAATGTGGGTACCATGGTGCCGAGGGGCACTGCCATAGCGTGGAGTTTCTCAGCCTGCGGCACTCGATGTTGTCCACCCAGGAGGTGCCCGAGCCAGTGTGGACGGGCCTGTTCTCTAGCCAGCCTTGCTCCCCACAGCCAAGCTGCTTGCAGATGATGGACAAGGAGATGTCCTTAAGGGCATTACTGCACACAGCGCCCCACGTCCCATTGTAGAACACATCCAGCCACCCAGCACAGTGGTGGATGCCACCTCGCAGCCTCAGAGCCACTGACCCTAGAAGACAAGAGCAGTCAGGCCAGGGGAAATCTCCAAAGGAGAAGGCCAAAATGAGAGGGTCCCAGCACCAGCATCAGTGCTGCTTGGGACATCTAACCCAGGGAGCCCCTGACATGAACCTTAAATCAATCATGCATCCCCATGACAATCTCCACCCCAGGGATATAGGTAGCAGTTAACCTCAGATGACCAGATTTCATCCCCAGCTGTAATGTCTCAGCTAACTGTCCAGAAATCCATCTTTGGAAATCATTCAAAATACAGAATAATCCGGGTGCTAAATGAGAAAAATATGCAGCCAAGTATACTTTATCCATCAAGGCTTCATTCAGAATACAAGGAAAGAGGGTGCCTGGGTGGCTCAGTTGGTTAAGTGACTGCCTTCGGCTCAGGTCATGATCCTGGAGTCCCTGGATCGAGTCCCTCATTGGGCTCCCTGCTTGGCAGGGAGCCTGCTTCTGCCTCTGACCCTCCCCCCTCTCATGTGCTCTCTCTCTCTCATTCTCTCTGTCTCAAATAAATAAATAAAATCTTTAAAAAAAAAAAAGAATACAAGGAAAGATAAAAAAAAATCCTCCAGGACAAACAGAAACTAAAAGAATTTGTGATCACTAAACCAGACCTGCAAGAAATATTAAAGGGGATCCTTTAAGCAAAGAGAGAGCCCAGAAGTAACAAAGACCAGAAAGGAACAGAGACAATATACAGAAACAGGGACTTTATAGGTAGTACAATGGCCCTAAATTCATATCTTTCAATAGTTACTCTGAATGTAAATGAGCTAAATGCCCCAATCAAAAGACACAGGGTATTAGATTGGATAAAAAAGCAAGACCCATGATATGCTGTCTGCAAGAGACTCATTTTAGACCTAAAGACACCTCCAGGTTGAAAGCGAAGGGTGGAAAACATGTATCATGCTAATGAACATTAAAAGAAAGCTGGGGTAACAATCCTTATATCAGACAAATTAGATTTTAAAACCAAAGACTAATAAGACACGAGGAAGGACACTATATCCTACTTAAAGGGTCTATCCAACAAGAAGATCTAACAATTGTAAATATCTATGCCCCTAACATTGGAGCAGCCAATTATATAAACCAGTAAATAACAAAATTAAAGAAACACATCAATAATAATACAATAATAGTAGGGGACTTTAACACCCCATTCACCGCAATGGACAAATCATCTAAGCAGAAGATCAACAAAGAAACAAGGGCTTTGAGTGACACACTGGACCAGATGGACTTAACAATATATTCAGAGCATTCCATCCTAAAGCAACAGAATACACATTCTTCTCAAATGCACATGGAACATTCTCCAGAATAGATCACATACTGGGTCACAAATCAGGTCTCAGCTGGTACCAAAAAGATTTGGATCATTCCCCGCAACAGTACATTAAAACAATTATTCACCACAACCAAGTGGGATTTATTACTGGGCTGCAAGGGTGGTTCAATATCCACAAATCAACAATGTGATACACTACATTAATAAAACAAAGGAAAAGAACCATATGTCCTCTCAATAGATGCAGAAAAAGCATTTGACAAAGTATAGCATCCTTTCTTGATTAAAACTCTTCACAGTGTAAGGATAGAGGGAACATACCTCAATATCATAAAAGCCACATATGAAAAGTCCACAGTGAATATCATTCTCTATGGGGAAAACCTGAGCGCTTTTCCCCTAAGGTCAGGAACATGGCAGGGATGCCCACTATCACCACTGCTATTCAACATAGTATTAGAAGTCCTAGCCTCAGCAATCAGACAACAAAAAGAAATAAGAGGCATCCAAATCGGCAAAGAAGAAGTCAATCTCTCATTCTTTGCAGACGACATGATACTCTATGTGGAAAACCCAAAAGACTCCACCGCAAAATTGCTAGAACTCATACAGGAATTCAGCAAAGTGGCAGGATATAAAATGAATGCACAGAAGTCAGTTGCATTTATATACACTAACAATGAGACAGAAGAAAGAGAAATTAAGGAGTCAATCTCATTTACAATGACACCAACAACCATAAGATACCTAGGAATAAACCTAACCAGAGAGGTAAAAGATCTGTACTCTGAAAAGTATAAAACACTCATGAAAGAAATTGAGGAATACACAAGGAAATGGAAAAACATTCCATGCTCATGGATTGGAAGAACAAACACTGTTAAAATGTCTATGCTACCCAAAGCAATCTATGCGTTCAATACAATCCTTATCAAAATACTATCAAGTTTTTTTGCAGAGCTGAAACAAATAATCCTAAAATTTGTATGGAATCAGAAAAGACCCCAAGTAGCCAGGGGAATGTGGAAAAAGAAAACCAAAGCTAGGGGCATCACAATTCTAGACTTCAAGCTGTATTACAAAGCTGTGATCATCAAGACAGCATGGTACTGGCACAAAAACAGACACATAGATCAATGGAACAGAATAGAGAGCCCAGAAATGGACCCTCAACTCTATGGTCAACTAATCTTTGACAAAGCAGGAAAGAATGTCCAATGGAAAAAAAGATAGTCTCTTCAACAAATGGTATTGGGAAAACTGGACAGCCACAAGCAGAAGAATGAAACTGGACCATTTCCTTACACCATACACAAAGATAAACTCAAAATGGATGAAAGACCTAAATGTGAGACAAGAATCCATCAAAATCCTAGAGGAAAACATAGGCAGTAACCTCTTCAACATTGGCCACAGTGACTTCTTTCAAGACACATCACCAAAGGCAAGGGAAACAAAGAAAAAAGTGAACTATTGGGACTTCATCAAGATAAAAAGCTCCTGCACAGCAAAGGAAACAGTCAACAAAACCAAAAGACAACCACGGAATGGGAGAAGATATTTGCAAATGACATATAAGATAAAGGGCTAGTATCTAAGATCTATAAAGAACTTCTCAAATTCAAAACCCAAAGAACAAATAATCCAGTCAAGAAATGGGCAGAAGACATGAAAAGACATGTCTCCAAAGAAGACATACAAATAGTCAACAGACACATGAAAAAAATGTTCAACATCATTGGCATCAGAGAAATACAAATAAAGACCACAATGAGATACCACCTCACACCAGTCAGAATGGCTAAAATTAACAAGTCAGGAAACATCAAATGTTGGCAAGGATGCGGAGAAAGGGGAACCCTCCTACACTGTTAGTGGGAATGCAAGCTGGTACGGCCACTCTGGAAAACAGTATGGAGGTTCCTCAAAAAGTTAAAAATAAAGCTATCCAATGACCCAGCAATTGCACTACTGGGTATTTACCCCAAAGATACAAATGTAGGGATCCGAAGGGGTACGTGCACCCCGATGTTTATAGCAGCAATGTCCACAATAGCCAAACTGTGGAAAGAGTCCAGATGTCCATCGACAGATGAATGGATAAAGAAGATGTGGTTCATATCTACAATGGACTATTACTTGGCCACCAAAAAGATTGAAATCTTGCCATTTCCAACAACATGGATGGAACTAGAGGGTATTTTGCTAAGCAAAGTAAGTCAGTCAGAGAAAGACAATTATCATATGATCTCACTCATATGTGGAATTTAAGAAATAAAATAGAGGGACGCCTGGGTGGCTCAGTCAGTTAAGCGGCTGCCTTCGGCCCAGGTCATGATCCCAGGGTCCTGGGATCGAGTCCCATATCGGGCTCCTTGCTCAGTAGGGAACCTGCTTCTCCCTCTCTCTTCTTCTGCTTGTGCTCTGTCAAATAAATAAAATCTTAAAAAAAAAAAAAAGAAATAAAATAGATGAACATAAGGGAAGAGAGGAAAAAATAAAACAAAACAATATCAGAGAGAGAGACAAACCATAAGAGACTCTTAACTATAGGAAACAAACTGAGGGTTGCTGGAGGGGAAGGGGGTAGGGGGATGGGGTAATTGGGTGATGGGCATTAGGAGGGCATGTGATGGAATGAGCAACTGGGTGTTATATAAGACTGATGAATCACTGAACTCTACTTCTCAAACTAAAATGGAGTATATATGTTCATTGAATTTAAATTAAAAAAAACAGAGTACAGAATAATCCTTGTGCACAAGATGATCAATGTAGCAGTGACTATAAAAACTTAAAAAATTGAAAAACAGGAATGAGTGCAGTTTCATGTTCAGAGAGCATCAACCCTGGCTGGTCATGGCCCAAGTACCATCACATTACCCTCAAGCAGGGCAACTCCAACAACACTGAGATGTCTTAAGTAAACCATAATATCACCACTAATAAAGCATTAGACAATCCTTTAAAATTATGTTATGAGAGTCCACAATACATTAAAAATACCTCTGCAGGGTATGAATTGCACGTGATGGGGCCATAACAAATTAAAATTTAAATAAGCTTTTAAAAAATGCTTGAAGGACGTACATCCATAACAGATTACCAAAGTGGCCCCTAAGATATCCTGCTGTACCCACACCCCTTGAAATGAGTCTGGGCTGACCCCCTGAATCTGGGCTGGCCTTGGGACTTCAGCCAACTGACCAAACGGGGTAAGAGTGGCCCACGCCTGTCCCAGGCCTGGGCGTCACACACATGCCTGGCCTGCTTTGGCTCTTGCTTTTGGAACATTGCTTTCACGTTGAATCATAACAGAAACAGAGCGCCCCCCACCCTTGCCAACAACCAGTTCCCAGCAGCAGAGTCCTATCAGTCAGCAAGTGATCAGCTGCCTGAGGGAGCCCCTGAGACAGAAGAAGGAAGGCAAACTTGCCAAGTTGAAATGCACATCCAAGAACTTTTGTTGACACACAAGCAAATCAGTGATGTATACAAAACCTAGAGACACTCCCCCAGAATATATGAGAAAAGACCAGAGCCCCCCCCCCAAAAAAATAATGAATAAAAAGGACAAGGAAGATCTAAAATAATGAGCTGAAATGTCACTTTGAAAGACACACAAGGATTGAAACAGAGCGATCATCTGAGACATCAGATGAGGAAAACTTTCCTAAGGCAAAACCAGGAAGAAGAAAGCACAGTGAACGCTCAACCCCGTCATGGAGGGCAGCCCTGCGCAGACCGCTCACAGGCTCACACCCCCCAATAAATGACACTCTGTCCCTCGGGAATGACCACACCCACACTACCAATATAAAGAGCCTCAGATATGCATAAGCTTTCATACACCACCTTTTAAGCATTCTGGAAAAAGTCCTCCAGAACACTGAAATAAGGGTCCAAAGAGTTTGAGACAGAGAAAGCTCACACACAAATGTGAGCTGAGCCTGTGAGCAGGGGTGACAGACCCCAGGCAGTGCTGGTCCGGGACCGCCAGCCGCATCTGAGCAGACCCGCACCCTCCCCCCGCCGGGGTCTCCTGTCCACCCCCCACCCCACCCCCCACCGGGGTCTCCTGTCCACCCCTCCCGGTGCCCCCACCCCCGGCAGCGTAAAGTTGCTCTGGCCTGCAGCATCATTGCAGCAAGAGAACACTGTCCAATACACCGTGGAGCTCTCCAGCCGGGAAGAGACGTTAGCGGAATCCGTGGAAGGCAAGTGTGCGAGATGTTATGCACTAGGACAGCGCGACCATTCCGTATCCAGCTGCCCCGTGAAGACAGTCAACTAACAGGACCGACCTGAGCAGATGACGCCGGCGTCCTCCTTGTGCCCGCAGTCCTGCTGGCCCCAGCCCCCTGACGGGCACTGCCACAGCGCAGACTCGTGGCCGCTGCAGCCCAGCTGGTCCATCCAGATGCGCCCCGACCCCGCACCGAAGGGCGCGGCCCCCAGGGCGCGGAGGGCTTGGCCGCAGCCCAGCTGCCGGCAGACCACGTGGGCGTCCCGCAGGTCCCAGCCATCGTCACACACGGTGCCCCACGTGCCCCCGTGCAGCACCTCCACGCGCCCCGCACAGCGGTGGGGCCCGGCGGCCAGCCGCACCCGCCGGCTCCCTGCGGAGACACGCGGCGTCAGGGCAGCCGGCCCGCGGGCTATGGGCGGGCGGCGCGGGCACTCACTCACCCGAGCACACGACGCCCGCGTCCCGCGAGGCCCCCGAGGGTACCAGCGGGGATGCGGACACGTTGCACTGGGTCAGGCGGTTCTCGGTGCCCCGACAGCGCGCGCGGCTCAGCCCCACCGGGACCGCCCCGCGCCTGGGCGCAGGCGCGTCGTAGGCCCGGTCAGCCTGTCCGCACCCCAGCTGCCTGCACACCACGCGGGCGCCGCTCAGGTCCCACGCGTCGTCCAGGACGCGGCCCCACACCCCGTCCAGGGAGACCTCCGCGCGGCCATCGCAGCGGCTCTGTCCGTCCCTCAGCCGCAGGGCGTGGAGGAGACCTGGGGAGGACGCACGCATGGACGAGGGGTCAGGGGGAGACAACCACCACCTCCCAGCAGAACCCCGCCCACTCCCAGCCTCCCTCAGCCCACCGCTCTTGCGGACCCACCTGAGCAGACCGCTGCAGCCGCGTTTCCCGGCGCACAGGCCCCGGCCCCCAGGGTGCTTACTGGGCAATTCCACAAATAGGGTTCTGTCCCCACACAGTGAAACACATCAGGCCAGATGGGAGCGTCCCCGTTCCCAAAGTGGCCTCCTCGGGGTGTGGCCTCCGCACTACCGCAGTTGAGCTGGTGGCAGAGGACGGTGGCATCTGCTAAGTCCCAGTGGGCAGCACAGAGGGGTGCCCAGGCCCCCTGCACTTGGAGCTCCACGCGCCCCTCACAGCTGCTGCTGCCGTTAACCAGCCGGAACTCTGAAGAGGGGAGTGGGAGTCAGCGTCCCCCTCAGCCACAGACCAGCTTCTTTCCTTTGCACCCAGTGCGCTGGCCACAGCCACGCCCTTGCCTCACTAGCTCCCTCCCCACCTCAGCCTCAGCATCCAGATCCTGCCTCTGCAGATGTGCCCACAGACTATGGTGTAGCCACGGCGGGGGGCACAAGCCTCTCCTCCCCCTCAACCCACAGAAGCAACACTTCCTCAACCAGGAACACGCACACCCTTCTGGCCAGAGGCACCTTTATGAGCCTAGTTTAGAGACCCCAGAGGGAGTCACCAAGGGAGGCTGGCAGGGAAGTCTACCTGAGGCTACCCTCCCAGCCTCACCTGAGCACCTGAGCCCGGCATCCTGGCGGTGCCCACACTGGTGCCCAGGCCCCTGGGGGCAGTGGAACAGCAGAGACTCATTGCCTGCACAATGGAAGGCCTGTGTCCACACAGGCCCAGAACCCCGGCCGAAGTGGGCGCTCCCGGGAGTGGACACAGCCGAGCCGCACTGCAGCTCCCGGCACATAACGTGAGCCGTTGCCTGGTCCAGGTCAGCGTCACAGACAGTGCCCCAGGTCAGGCCACGCCTCACTTCCAGACGCCCGGCACAGGGGTGCTCACCGCCCTCCAACCGGGCTTCTATGTGTCCTGGGGGAGGATACAAACTCTCAGTGAGGGACTTATCCCGTTCTCAGGTGAACAATTCAGCCACCTCCCTGGGCCACAGGAGGCTCCAGCCAGGGTAGACAATCTGTAACCAGGCAGTGGGTCTGCAAACCCTGGGCAGAAACTGATAGCCCATACACCCTCCACCTAGAACAGAGTAGGAGTCCCTGGTCACTTCCCTGAGATCAGAGGTCAGAGTCACCTCCTCCAGGTGCCCTCAGGTGTCACACAGCCTCTGCCTGCCCAGGGCAGGGGCATCAAGACCCTGTATAGTCTTGGAAGCCAGGTCAAGGCACCTCTCCGGCCCAGATCACTGCCTTCTTGGGGGCACCAAGGAAGGTGGCCCATCCACCTCACTTTAGCCTTTCCTAATTCCCAGAACACAGGCAGGATCTATGAGGGCCAACTCATTTGCCCATCTGAGACAGGACTGGGAGGGGGCAACCACCAGCCAGCTGACTCATGTTATAAGGCGACAATCACAGCTCAACCAGCGCAGATGCTGCAGGACAGCCAGGACCCCAGCTGGCCCAAGGATTCTGAGCCAGGACACCTCTGCGGGGACGCACACACAGGGGACCTGGTGAGGCACATGGTGAGCCACCCAAGAGCGCCTCCTGTGCTCTCACCTCCAGGCCTCTGTGAGCTAGAGAACGCCAGATGGTCATAGTGCCTGCCCTCACCTGTCCAGCCCATGCCTAATCCATCTGAGACACCAAACTGCCCGGGTGTCAGGAGGAGATGGGTCTGCAAGAGCTGAGACCACTCCCAGCAGCTCCTTCCCCAGGGGTGTGCGCCCTGAGACTCAGGCGGGCCGCGCGTGGGGCCTTACCTGAGCAGACGACCTCCGCGTCCTGCTGGAAGTCACAACCACTGCGGAGATTATTGTTGAGTCTGCAGTTCCGGATGGTGGGCTCAGTACCCCTGCACGTCAGGTACTTCCTGACAACCCCCACGTCTTGGCGGGGGGCCTGAAGCACAGGCCCACACCCCAGCTCCTGGCAGAACACCGTGGCCTCCTCCTCATGCAGGCCGCAGAGGCGATCCACCCCATTCACATTCCTGATCTCGGGGAGTCCAGAGCAGGGGCTGCGGCCCTTTACCAGCCGGATCTCCCGGAAGGTGCCATCTGAGAAGCACAGGCCCACGTGACAGAAGGTGGGGACTCTGCTGGCCGCATGGCCACTCAGAGCCTCTGGCCTGCCTCGATGACCAGACTCCATTTGGGCGTGGCAGTCCCTACGCTGGGCCTGGATCAGAGACTGCAACCAACCCTGCTCCTTCCAGAGGGTCCAGAAGGCCCTTTCTGAGAGCAGCCAGTCACAAAGCCCTCCCCCCCACCCCTCAGAGGGACCTGTGCCTGGCTTAATACTCTGCTGTCACTGTCGTGAAAATCTTGTTGTTTTGAACAAGGGTCCCTGCATTTTCGCTTTATACTGGGCCCCGTTAACCATGTAGTGGGTCAGCTTCACAGACAGGAGGCTATGGGGGGCCTCACAAGTTCACAAGTGCCCAGAGACAGCAGAAGACCCTCAAGATAGACCTCAAAGGGAAAGCATTTGCCTCCTCATCATTTTTGAAATCATGTTTAAATAACTAATGTTAAACATCGACAGGCACCCTCAGGTGTCTAGAAGACAGGGTGGTCCCTAGCCCCCACCCGTCTGTCCGTTTCCCGCTTCTCCACATTCCCACATTGCTGTTGTACTTCTTTATTTACTCTGTTTCCCCCTAGGAGAGTACAGGCTCCATGCAGCAGGATTTTTGTCTGATTTATTCACAGCTGCATCCCCAGCACCCAGAATAGTGCCTTGCAAATAAGCACTTGTTGAATGAAAAGCAACGGACCGCTAACAGAAAGAATGAAAGAGTCATGAGAGGTTGGAAAGCTTTACAGGTGGGGATGGTTCCCATGCCCAGTAAGGAGTGCCCCCGCAGATCCTCTCTCCTCCCCCCTCCCCCAGACCTACCCTCTTCCCCCTCCCCAGCTTCCTCCTGCACGGACTTACTTGCACACAGAGCAACCACCACCCACTCGTGAGGGCACTCGCTCCGAGTCCAAGCCCCGAGGCTGCACTCCCAGAAGGAAAGCTCATCACCCCTGCAGGATACATTGTGGAGCCAGGGCCGCACCATCTCCCCGGGCAACGGGACGTACTTGGGGGCACCCACAGCATGTCCACAGCCCAGCTGCCTGCAGACCACAGATGCCTCCGCCAACGTCCACTCCTGGTTGCACACATGTCCCCACTGCTCCTTGTGGCGGACCAGCACCACTCCGTCGCAGGAACTGTGTCTGTACGCCAGCCTCAGGTCGCCTGGTCCGCCTACAGAAGGACAGGCCAGCCTCAGAGGGGCCCGGAACCGTCTTTGTGCGGGTGGGGGGAGAGCCGGCTGCAGCTGAGAGGTATAAAGACGCCTGCGTTTGCCCACGGCCACTTCCAAGGTCTTGCTGCGAGGCCTCAGCACAAAGTCAGGTCCCCTGACCCCCCAGTACGCGCAGTCCAGAAAGGTGACGGGGTGGGGTCACACAGAGACCCGCCCCCTGCCCCCACGCAGCCCTGCGTCCATGTCTCCACAGTCCCCCTCCCCCCCAACCATGTCCTCCGCTCCCCTCCCAAGCCCTCTGGGGCGCCCTACGATGTGGGTGACCCCACCCCCCCAGGCAAGGAAGTCACTTGTCCTCCGCTGCCTGGAACTGGGGCTGCTCTTCCCACCACCCCACCGCGCCTCCCAATCATTATTTCCCCCCTTCCACTGGCGGGCCTGTGGCCCACCACACGCACCCCACCACTCTCCACTCCCTCCTCACCTCTACCCCACCCCCAGCCAGCTGCCTGTCCTTCCTTCCGCTCTCCCAGGCTCCTCGGGTTTCAGGTCTCGGCAGCTCCCGGGACCAGGACCAAATGGACCACCTCACCAGGACCAGGATGTATTTCCCGAACCACACCCCTTCTAGGCCTCTGCACCCTGGTTTTTCCTGCACAGCCCCTCCCCATCACAGCCCCTTGATCCCGGATTCTCATCACCCCTTCCTGGGCTGGTGCTGGAGAAACACAACAGCAGTCACGGAGAAGTCTCTGTCCCAGCCTGGGCCACCCCAGACCACCTCCCGGGCCCATCCTGGACTCACAGAGGGAGGAGACAGAGGGCAGACTCCCGCACACAGATCCAGAGGAAGGCATGTCCCTCTCCCTACCACTCTCACTGACCCCTGAGGGTCTTCATTCATCACTGGTACATCTCTGGTACATCCCCCAGAGCCTCCTCATCCCCTTCCAACCTGTGCATGGGTGTCTGCATCTCTAACACAAAACGGGATCCCCTCCGGTTTTCCTACACCACTCCCACGCATGGCATCACTGCCCACAGATTCCTGCCACCACCACCTGGGGCGTCCCTACTGTCCAGCTCTGAGGCCACCTGGGCTGGGCCAGGGATCAGCCTGCCCAGTGAAATGCTCTTCCCTCAGTTTCCAGGGCACTGGACACTGCTACCCTCTCCCGTCTCCCCTGTGTGTCTCCCTGTGTGACTCACATGCATGCACACACTCACACACACTCTCTGACACCAACACTATCACTCACCCAGTCAAAGGCCCCATGTTACTATATGCAGTCTCCCCCCAGGGGCTTGCTCTCTCACTACCAGCCTTTCCGTGCTGTTCCATCCGGCAGAACCCCCTCTCTACAGCTTGCTGCCCATGATTCTGCCTCTTGGGTTCTGGACCCAGCAGCATCCCACACCCCTGTGCCCCCCACCTTGCTACTGTGACTCCCTGGAACTGTGTCTCTCTTCCATGTCCCAGCACAAGCTGAATGGTCACCCTCACTGCCAGGTACAGCTGGCTTTCCACTCCCCCACCAGCCACCCAGCCCCAGGGAAAGGGGATGGAGCAGCCCCTCTGCAGGACCCATCAACACCTCCTGTCCATGGGGATCACTGGGACCAGACACTAGCCATGTCCCCTCATTCCATCCAGGCTCTGACCCAGCCCTGCACCCTGCGTTCACCCTGAATTAGATCTGCTCAGTCTTTGTTAGAACAAGAGCCTCCAGGGATACACACTTTGGAACCCACATGCCCACTTGCCCCAGGATGACCCATCCACCTCTGGGCTGAGCAAGAGCCAGACAGACAGCTGGTCATAGCAGAAGACCCCCACACCCCAGGGTCTCAGGCTCTACAGAACCACTGCCTCCAGAAGCTTCCATGGATGAGGGAAGGAGAAACTTACCAATGGGGACTGCCCTGAGAGTGAAGAGAAGGGTCCCCAGTCCCAAGGCCCAGAGAACTGTCTTCATGGCCCTGTGACCCCGAGGGCTCAACCAGCTCCAGCCACTCAACTGGGGCAATGCAGAGATTACAGTCAAGAGTCAAATATACAGAAGTAGGAGCCACCAATGGCCTCCAGGAACCAATGGGGACAGTGAGGGCCTTTCCAGAACCAATCAGGGGTCTGTCTCTCTGTCTCTGAGCAGAGCAACCAATGGCCTTGGCAGCCCTGAGCATTGCCAGGTATGAGCGAGGGGCCCAGGCTGTGGGTTTCCTCCCACACTGATAACTGCTGACAGAGTAGCTTTACTCAGACCCCACAGTCAGACAGGTGGTCCAATCTGCCCACAGCCGCAGCAACAAAGCCCTGTGTCTCTGCCCTCCACCCAGGCCCGGTAGGCTTGGCTCCCCACCACAGACAGTGGCACAGTGACACCAGACTTCTGGGGACCAGCAGGGACTGAGTGGAAGCCCCACAGCACCAAAAGAATGAGACAGCCCAGGATAGCCTTTCAAGGCCCCTAAAAACTGAACTGTCATTGGACCTAAAGCTGCAAAAGGACAGAACCTATACTCTGAACCTAAACAGGATGACTACCTGCTGACATGGAAGGGTCTCCCAACATCACAGTCCAGAATACAAGTGAAAATCATCCATCATATGAAAAATCAGGAAAACAACAATTTGATGATAAAATACAATGAACTGATACAAGGTGAAGTTGATCTCAGAACTATCTGCCGAGGATTTTAAAGTAGTCTTCATAAAAGATGCTTCCACAGTAAATTGCAAACTCTTTTGAAACGAATGGGAAAAAAACCAAAAAATCTCAGCAAAGAAATAGAAGTTATAAAAATGAACTACTCGTGAGAGTGTGGAAAAATTGGAACATTCATGAGATTGGAAAATGGTGCAGCCACTTTGGAAAACAGTTTGGCAGTTATTCATAATGTTAACCCAGCAATTCCACTCCAAGGTACATATCAAAGAGAAATTAAGTTATGTCCACACAAAAACCTGTACATAAATGTTCATAGCAGCATTATTCATAATAAACAAAAAATAGAAACAAGCTAAATGTACATCAATCGATGAATGGATAAAAAAATATGGTCTATCCACAACACAGAACATATTCAGCCGTTGAAAGGAAGGAAGGTCTGACACCTGCAACAGTGGAATGAACCTTGGAAACAGTATGCTAAGTGTCAGACACAAAAGACCACATGTATGATTCCATTTATATAAAATGTCCTGATTGGGCAAATCCACAGAGAGAGAAAGTGAATTAGTGTTTGCCAGGGGCTGGAAGGAGGAGAAAATTGGAAATGACTGCTAATAGGTATGGGGTTTCCTTTGGGGAGATGAAAATGTTCTGAAATCAGCCAGTGGTGATTGTGGTATAATTCTGAGTATACTAAAAACTACTGGATTATACACTTTTAAAGGATACATCTGTGGTGTATGAGTTATGTTCTCAATAAAGCTGTTATCCTTTTAAAGAACCAAATGGAAATTATAGAACTAAAAATACAACTGACTTTTTTTTAAACTCACTAAAAGGGGTCCCTGGGTGGCTCAGTCAGTGAAGTGTCTGCCTTTGGCTCAGGTCGTGATCTCAGGGTCCTGGGATCGAGTCCCACATCGGGCTCCCTGCTCAGCAGGGAGTCTGTTTCTCCCTCTCCCTCTGCCCCTCCCCCATTCATCCACTCTCTCTCTCTTTCTCTCAAATAAATAAATAAAATCTTTTTTTTAAAAACTCACCCAATGGACTCAAGAACAGAATGGAAATGCCAGAGGACAGCATCCGTCAAATTGAAGACAAATAAATAGAATTTACTTAATGTAAACAACAGAGAGAAAATAGACAAAAAAATTAATACAGCCTCAGAGACCTCTGGGACAATAACAAAAGAGATAATATTTCTATCATTGGAGGTCTAGGAGGGAGAGGAGAGAAAAGAATGTGAAGAAACTGAAAACTTCCCAAGACATAAACTTACAGATTCAGGAAGTTGAGCAAACTCCAAACAGGATAAACCCAAAGAAATTCACACCAAACCACATCATAAGTAAAATTCTGAAAACTAAGAATTAAAAAAAAAATCCTAAAAGCAGACAAAGAAAAACAATACATCATTATCAATAAAGGAAAACCAATTTGAATGATAGCAAATTTCTCATCTAAAATGGAGACCAGTAGGTAATGGAAGACCTGTTTTTAAGAGTTGAAAGAGAGGGTGTGTCAAGCTTGTATGCTACATCTGTGAAACTATCCTGCAGAAATTATGGGGAAATAAAGACAACCTCAAATGAAGGAAAACAAGAGAGCTTCTTGCTAGAAGACATACTGTTACATAATAGCTAAAGAAAACCCTCCAATCAGAAAGCAAATGATTACAAAAAGATGGGACTTTCAGAAAGGAAAGAAGAACAATGAAATGGGTAAAAGTAGAAGTGACCATAATAGATTATCCTTCACTTTGTGAGGTTCTTTAATCACATTTTATGTTACAACACCACCTGAAGTGGTGCTCAGTGAATACAGAAGAAATACTCCAGACAGTTCTATGTTTAAAGTAGGAGGGTAAAAAAAAAAAACTAAATTAAGTAAGGTTTCTATATTTCACTTGAAGTGTTAACATGGCAACACCAGAAGCCTGTTATAAGTTACATACAGTATCATATATAACTTACATATAAGGTAACCAATAAAAAAATTATACAAAACTCAAAAACATTATAAATACATCAAAATAGAAGTCTGAAAAATGTTCACATAACTCATTGAGAGAGAGGGGGAAAAGAAACAGATACATGAAAACAGGGGAACAAATAGGAAACAAAAAGTAAATGGCAGATATAAGCCCTAAAACATTAGTAATAACTTAGATGTAAATGTTCTAAATACACAAATTAAAAGGCAGATGTTGGGGGTGCCTGGGTGGCTCAGTCAGTTGGGCGTCTGCCTTAGGCTCGGCTCACTATCCCAGGGTCCTGGGATCGAGCCCCACATCGGGCTCCCTGCTTCGGTTAGGGTTAGGGTTAGGGTTAGGGTTAAGATTGGCAAAGTGAATTTTGGCAGGAGTGGCTATATTGATATCAGAGAAAAACTTCAGATAAAAGAAAATTACTAGGAAGAATAGGGGACATTACATAATAATAAAAAGGATGAATCCACCAAAAAGATAGAACAATCCTAAATGTGTATGTGCCAAACTACAGAACTTCAAAATATATGAAGCAAAAATGGATAAAGCTGAAAAAAGAAATGGACAAATCCACAATTCTACTTGGAGAATTCAAGATGTCTCTCACAACAATTGACAGAACTACTGGAGATAAAATCAGCAAGATCTGGAAGAACTGAACACCATCAACCAATGGATCTAATTCACATCTGCAGAACACTCCACGCAACAAAAGTAGAATACACATTTGTTTCACATACATGGGACATTCACCAAAATTTGTATCTTAGGTCATAAAACAACCTTAACAAACTTAAAAGAATTTAAATCATACAGAATATATTTTCTGACCATAATAGATTCAAACAAGAACTCAGTAACAGAAAGATAATGGAAAAATCTGCAAACACTTGAAAATTAAACACACTTCTAAATAATCCATGGGTCAATGTTGAAATCTCAAAGGAAATTTTAAAAATACAAAGAAGTGAATAAAAATGAAAACGACATATCAACATTTGGGGGATACAGCTAAAGAAATGCTAAGAGGGAAGTTTACAGTGCTTAATATTTACATGAGAGGAAAGATCTCAAATCCATAAGCTAAATTGTGATCTCAAAAATCTAGGGAGATAAAAGCTAAATAAAGCCAAAGTCTGCATAAGGAAAGAAATAATAAAGATAAAATCAGAAATGAATGAAGTTAAAAACAGGAAAACAATTTTAAAAATTAATGAAACAAAAAGCTGGTTTTTTGAAAAAAATAAAAATAAAATAAACCTCTAGCAAGATTAACAAAAATAAAAAATAACCCAAATCAATACCCAGAATAGAAAAAGTGATATACCGGGGCGCCTGGGTGGCTCAGTCGTTAAGCGTCTGCCTTTGGCTCAGGTCATGATCCCAGGGTCCTGGGTTCGAGCCCCGCATCGGGCTCCCTGCTCAGGGGAAGCCTGCTTCTCCCTCTCCCACTCCCCCTGCTTGTGTTCCCTCTCTCGCTGTGTCTCTCTCTGTCAAGTAAATAAATAAAATCTTTAAAAAGAAAAAGTGATATACCAACAGACACAACAGCCATTAGAAGGATAAGAGAGAAATACTATGGACAACTTTAAACTCATAAATTCAACAACTTAGAAGAGATGGACCAATTCTCTGAAAACCACAAACTACTAAAACTCAGCCAGATGAAACAGAGAACTAAAACTATAAAGGAACTAGGTTTTTGTCATCAAAATGTTTCTGAATCCAGAGTTCTCACTGTTAGAATTGACATTTACAGATCAGCAAGGGCAAGAGGCTGGAATGACCCACATGGTGGTGGATTAGAGGTGGAGATGTCAGTAAGATCTTGTGTTCAGCTTAATCTGGGTACAGATGGCTACATACAGAAGTACTGTAGATGTGTGTGTGTGTGTGTGTATTTCTATACAGATGTGTGCATAGGTATGTACAAATACACATGTATTTCTTTGTTCTGCCAACCGAGAGGGCCTGGAAGCCATGGTGCCCCAGCAGCAATGAGCACACCCAGTGCCCAGATCTTGGCATCTAACATCATCCTCAGTCAAAGGAAACAGGACACCTGGGAGAAGCAGCTGATTCTAAGACTGGGGTAGGAAATATATAAGGGCCTGGAGCATCTTGTAATGTCAGAAAGTAAAGAAGTGATCAAACACAAACAAAACAGAAAATTGAAAACACCGATGATGAGATAGGGCAGAGGTGCATAGGGACTGACTGAAGGGTTCCCAAAGACCAAAGCTGGAACAATTTGAGCAATGATCAGTCAATATTGGATTATAACCCAAAGGGCAAAATGCACACCTATGAGTCATAC